AGTTGTGTATCATCTCAGATTCTCTTTCATATATTACTCGAGGAAAAATAAAATCCATTAATCATAAATCCGATTTCCATCATATCACTCGACAAAATAATAATAATAATAATAATAAAATAAAAAATAAAATAATAAAATAAAAAAAAAAAATAAATATAATAAAATAAAAATAAATGAATAAATAAAAATCACAATAAAAAAGACATTCAAACCTTACCAAGATTTTTTTTTCTTTTATCCTCACCTTGTTCTGCCCATTAGATAAAATCCCGGAGCAGGTGCACGCCCATATCCCGGAATAACGGTTTCTATAATCTAGCCTAATTTTTCGATAATTGAAGACAGGAAGGAAGCTTAACACAATTTCCGGAATTGATCAGTGTCCGTCCAACCAGCCAGGCAGTTACCAGTTTTTTTTTTTTTTTTTTTTTTTTTACGGTTTTAAAAGGAAGTTTACAGACTGCGGAGTAGGAGTAGGAGGAGGAGGGTAAACAAAGTGCTTTTAAGCGAAGAGGAGGAAAGAAAGACAGAAAATTGGGGAAAGAGAATTTTAAGAAAGAAAAGGAAATAGAAAGAAAGATTGGGTAAGCACAAATGTCGATTAGGAAGATTGTGAAGATGCGGAAAGACCAAATTTGGGAGAAACAATGAGACAAGAATTCTTTTCATTTCTGCTTGAAAGAACAATTATCATCTCTCTCTCTCTCTGTCTCTCTTATCGGCTTTTCTTTCTTTCTTTTTTCCGTGCTTTGAAATGACAAAATACAGATTTGCGGGCACACACACACACGCACGCACACACACACACACACACACACACACACACACACACACACACACACACACACACACACACACACACACACACATACACACACACACAAACAACACAACACAAAGACAGACACACACACACACACACACTCAAATACACACATGCATACAATCACGCATACACACAGAAGCTCACACACGTACACACATACACATACGCATACACACGCATGCATACAATCACGCATACACACAGAAGCTCTCACACACGTACACACACACACATACGCACACGCACACGCACGCATGCAGAGACGCCGCGTGCGTTATCAGAGAGCGCATCGCCTGCTCTGATTCCTCCCTGTAACGGCACAATCTTGGCGAGGCTGCTCCTTGTAGTGTGATTCGGAAGGAATTTTTTTTTTTTTTTTTTTTTTTTGATGTGGATGCAGGCTGAATCGGGAGAATGCTGTTTACCGTGTGATGGGAACGCATGTTGTATATGTATATGATTTTGTTTACGGTTTTGCAAATAATTACATATAGGCATATATGTACGTATGTATGTACACACACACACACACATAAATACACACATACATAACATTTACTTATACTTTTCATTTTGGATGCTGTACACTAGTTTTACACACACACACACACACACACACACACACACACACACACACACTCCTTTCCCCCGGATATCCGTATCCAACATCTTAAACTGCCACATCCATATTTTTTCTTGACCGTTTTGGCCTGAAGAAAAAATAAAAAACACACAAAGAGAGGGAGACGGAAATACCTTGACCTTCCGGCCTAAAACGGAGAAGGAAGTCCACTGAACTAGATAACGTTGAGTCTAACTGTTTGACATCACACTCAGTGCATATAGAAGGGGGGAGGGGGGGGTGAAAGGGTGGGGCGCCGTGTGAACTTCGGGTGTGTTTCGGGTTGAGGACGTATGGTTTCGGTGGAAAACTTGTATAGTTGTATAGTTTTAAGACGTATGGTTGTATATGTTGAAAGCTTGCATGGTTGTGGAATTTAAAGACTTGGGTGGTTGTATATGTAAATATGGTTGTATATGTTGGAAGTGTATGGTTGTATATGTTGGAAGCTTGTATGGTTGTATATGTTGGAAGCTTGTATGGTTGTATATTTGGAAGCTTATATGTGTATATGTTGGAGGCTTGTATGTTGTATATGTTGGGAGCTTGTATGGTTGTGTAATTTAAAGACGGGTGGTTGTATATGTTGAAAGCTTATATGGTTGTATGAACGGATTACCGTTGTAAAAACTTGAAAGCAACTTATTAGGTAGGAAACATAAATAGTTGAATATACTTTTGACAAATTTTGCATGAATATGGACACTACTTTTCGGTTAAGTGCGTGTGTGGCTTTATGTACTTATGGTGATTATTTCTTGGTCTGGGAGTCAGTGAGGTGTAAGACGGGATGTCAAAGCAGTGTTATTGGGTGTAGTTAATTCGTGAAGGTTTTGCTGGGTATCTTACTCTTCTTCTTCTCTCTCTCTCTCTCTCTCTCTCTCTCTCTCTCTCTCTCTCTTCTCTCTCTCTCTCTCTCTCTCTCTCTCTCTCTCTCTCTCTCTCTCTCTCTCTCTCTCTCTCTCTCTCTCTCTCTCTCTCTCTCTCTCTCTCTCCCTCTCTCTTTCCATCCCTCTTTCTCTTTCTCTCTCTTTCTCTTTCTCGATTATGTGATCTACAAAACACTAATTCAAATTAAATTCAGTAGCGCCATAAACGTCATAAACAATCATTCTTATAACCGGAAATTTACGTTTAAAATTATGTTCATCGTCAACTTCAAACCAGTGAGGGCTGCCGGAAGAATATGTAAACACCCCCCCCACACACACACACATGCATAAAACATACATACATAATACACATACACATATAAGTATATATATATATATATATATATATATATATATATATATATATATATACATATATATTTATAGGTGAAGGTATATGTGAGATTATGTGTAGTCACACATGTTTATATGAGATAACTATCATTTTGTTCGCGATAAACATGATTCTGCATAACCTTCACGGCACCTTATGTAGTTCACATGACCAAATGGTGACTTTTACCAATATGTCATGATGATTTTGCGAATTTGACTTAGACTGTTGTTTACTTACATGTTTAGTCATCAAAATGATATGAAAATGATAAGGGGAAAACATCCGTGCTTGGACATGCCTCTCATATCGCTGCATTTCATCGACATCGACATGTCACCATAAGAATCTACAAATGCCTCTTAACGCGGGCGGGCTGCACAGGGGAGGTGGGCGTGGGGGCGTGACGGGCGCCTAGAACAGAACCTCACGCCCACCACCTGGCGCCGCGACCTAACTGTTCTGCCGTCAGCTGTGCCCCCGCCTGCGCCTTCGTCACGAGATCGGCCTCTGCGACTCCTCGGGGTCTGGGCTCTCTCGCGCCTCCTCTCGCTCTTGCTCTCTCCTGGTTCTTGGCGCTTTTGGGTCTATTGCTCTTGTAATTATTCTTTATTGTCTTTTATTTCGCCATTCTTCGTTCTCACTTTTTTTTTTTTTTTTTTTTTTTTTTTTTTTTTTTTTGTCTTTCCTTTTATATACTTACTATTAGTATAATCATAATTACTGTTACTTCAATAGGACATACTAAAACTTCTGATCATAACCAATATCATCCTCCTCCCCATCTTCTTCTTCCTCTTCATCTCTTCCTTCGTCTTCTTAAGATATTCAATGAAAGAAAAGAGAAATTGATTAGCGACAATTACAATCATTCGTCACATGATTCGCCATAATGTTAAGTGTATTTCTATATATAATCATGATATATCTCTAACGATCTAAACGAAAGGAAAAAAAAAGAAAGAAAATTCGATATTTACAATTACAAAACACAATTAGAGAAATGAAAATAAAAAACATGTTCATTCTCTTTGCTTTTCTCATATGATTTAGAAAAATAGAACATTAAATAGAACAAGTACATATTTATCCCAATCCATTTTTTTTTATCCCTCGTTCATTTGTGTGAAGTGCAAACATCACCTTTAGAAAAGACGTCGAGACGGAGATAAATGCAGATGTCATTGAAGCCAACGTTTTCTTCGGCTCCATGAGAGAGCCCTCTGTTGGCGGAGGATCAAACCAGTTTTCTTAATGGCATTCCAAAGGTTAATTAAGACCGTGTGTTTCATATTTACTTTATAACAGTACAGTACCTTCTACTCACGATGAAATAGAAATAATCAAAGATATATATAAAAATAGAATAAGAATAAAAAATCTCCTGATTTACAAATAAAGGAAAATATACAATCAGTCTCTAAAAAAATATCTAGCGGAATCTATTTTGAAACAGTTACCCCGATATGAAATAAGGCTAATGAAAACGAGCACCCAGCCACAACTAGTCTCATTAACGGCACATACACGCAGACGGATGAAAAATATCTTATTTTAATTCTGTCTAAAGAAAAGGGAAAAAGAAAAGGGTTTTGCTTTCCCTGACCGGAAATTAAGCAGTACCTTCCCTTCGTTCGCTGTACCAGATGGCAGGACGACATATGCTCGGGAAAAATTTTCGCGGAGCATCTATGCAATATCACTTTCGTATAGAAAACGTGGATGCAATTAGAGGCTTTAATTCTTTTGTGATAATCTGAAATGAACTTTAGTAGCAGATTTTGTTTTGTGTGGTATATATAATATATATATATATATATATATATTATTATAGATATAGATAGATAAACAGAGATACATAGATATATATAGATAAATAGATATAGATAGATAGATAGATATACGCATTTGTATAAAACATATTTATATGCATACATACATATGAATATATATGTATATATATGTATGTATGTATGAATGTGTGTGTGCATATATATATATATATATATATATATATGTATGTATATATACATATATTATTATATATATGTATGTATGTATGTATATATGTATGTATGCGCGCACAAACCCACCCATACACACACACACACACACACACACACACACACACACACACACACACACACACAACCCTTCTCACCTCCCCACAAACGAGAAACAAAAGGAAGAGAAGAATGCACAACAGAAACAACACACACACACAACGTTCTTCATCCCGCAGTACGTTAACACCGTAATAACAGATGTCTTTTTCTCCCACAGATGTGCTCGCGGACCTTGCTCCTGTCTGGGGCTCTCATGATCCTCGCCTCGGCTGCCTTCGGTGAGTCAATTGGCCTTTTTCATTCACGAGAAAAGATGGAAATTATCTCTCTTTCTTTTTTTTTTTTTTTTTTTTTTTACTTCATTTCTTGCGTTGTTTGGCTGTTGAGATTATTTTTTCTATTGGGATTTATATAATGCCTCACACATGTATGCTGGCATGTATAGATGGATTGATTGATAGGTATGCATATACATATACATATATGTCATACCTGTATATCTAACGCACACATAGTTTCTCATTTTTTCTCTCTATCTGTCTGTCTCTCTCTCTTTTCTCTCTCCTTATCTCTGTCTGTCTGTCTGTCTCTCTCTCTCTCCCTCCTTCCCTCTCTCTCTTCTCCTCTCCCCTCCACTCCACATCTCCGCCCCTCTCTTTCTCACGCACGTCCTGTCTCTTACTCTTGACTGAGTATTTCTTTAAGTCATTCGCAGAAGAAAAATCCGAAGATACCGTTCAAGTGATCAACCAAATCTCTCAGAGCAAATCAAGACAAAAGACGAGAGAGAGAGAGAGGAGAAAGAGAGAAGAGGAGAGAGAGAGAGAGAGAGAGAGAGAGAGAGAGAGAGAGAGAAAGTTCCCGGCCTAGCAAATCGATCGTTTCAACCTCCTTCTAATTTTCTTTTAAGTCATCGCGAGATTTCGAATTCCTAGATAAACTGATAAAAATGGACAGATAAAAGGGTTGTAATGGAGACATCTTGGCAACAAATCAAAGTCCCAAAGGGCCGATGACATCGACCCCTTAATAACAACACTTTTCAAATTGCCGTCTCATTGCCCCCTGATCATACATATATAATCCCGTCCACAACATAATTAACCAGAACTAAAGATTTAACACTCAACTAAATTACTGTTTATATACAATAATTACCTCCACCAGAAGACCTTTCAAAAACTGTTATACTGCCACAATCGAAGTAGATTGCACAAACCACGGCGTATATCTCAGCACAAAGTGGGGCAGCGTAAGGTCCACCCGGCGAGCCGGCACGCTCCACTTCCCTGCCAGCGCTACACAGCTAATGACACACGACGCTGCCACATATACTGTGCCATATGATCACTGCAGCCGCTACCTCGCTTGATGAACCATACACATATGATCCATCTCGACGCCAAAAACAGAAGCGGACAATAGAGAGGCGCCAATACCGTCATCGTTACAATAAGGTGCTCTCTTCCTCGACCATGTAAGAAACAAGAAGGAAAAAACAAGAAAAAAAAGAAAAAGAAAAAAAAAACAGAAAGAGGGATAGCCGTTTCATGTTCTGTTTCTGTGCTGGGAGTCCTGTTAAAGCCATTTCTATACATGTCTCTCTATGATGCACTACGACTCAGTCTCTATACTACTACTCATTACACTAATATATAAAATAAGCTTTGGTTCCGCATTTCCCCTTCGCTATTTTTTCTAATTTCCTCATCATGTTTATTGATCTGTTCTATTATGTAACGCCTTTGTCGCTAGTTGAATAATTCCGCGTGCCAATGATTCCGGATGTCGGGGGGACAAGCGCACCACGGCCCCACACATTAACCACGACATCACGCATAAACAGCAGACCCATTCACACCAACACATCTATCCAACTTCATGATAGTGTCGACCCGGAACTATGATGTCGTTTCGCCCGGTATCAGTCATGGCTATCACGGATTCTCTCCATCGCTGTTCAATCGCGAAACATTACTACTATATACTCATACATACTGTCGCTCCATTCTTATATCGTAAGGCACAGCAGTTCGAACTTGCATTACCCATCTATCTAGACCCCGTTTACAGAAGCTCAAATGGCCCTCATTTATGCATACTATTTCATACCCTTGTTAATCTTAAGACAATAATATTTCTTTATAGTATCATAACTTCATGATAACAATAGTATATCTATCTTCGTTGTTTATATCTGATATCCATTCTTTTACCGTTTCTACGCCTCCGTTTTTTTACAATGCTGATACAAATAACTCAATTCGCACCCATTAAAAGAGGCGTTTATACCGATTCTACCATTACCCTATATACAATGCCTCCACCATACCATTTACAACCTACTTAAACATGCTTGTAATTAATCTCATTACCATTCCATCGCGATTCCATTAACAAGCTAATCCATTACTTCACAGAATCGGTTCTATACCTCTTCTTAATCCCGATCAACCAATAGCCCCATCAGAGCTCCGTGCTATTCACAGTCTTTAAAACTGGACTATGGATAATGTACACCTCACCATTCACCTTAACAAGCTATAACATATCGATTCACCACAACTTAACACTGGCCAATTGTAGAGATTACCATTCTACCTCCTTACCTTAACATCCATTTATACACATAACCGAGTGTTACCTTTAACATCGCCATCCATTTTACCAATTCCACACGACATTTAACGAAGTCTTTTTCTTTGTTGAGACATCTGTATCATACCAAAGTTGTGATATTTTTACCATCAAAAATTCGACATCTCATTATAGACACCCCCTCCCCTCTTTCTCCCCTCTCTCCTTTCCTTGTCACCTCTTATTCTACTTCCTCTGTCTCTACATACGCGCCTTTCTCCTGCCTGCTAGCAGACCTCTCGCCTCCACCTATACCTAGCGACAGCTCAGCAGACCCGCGGAACCCTCCCGCTCCTCGTACAGAGGCTGCGGGAGTGTGCGCGTGTGTCTACAGATTCTGCGCACTCTATGATCAGTATTGAGATAAAATCTAGTCTGAGCTTTCACTTCTCTTGTGATTCCGAAATATTTGTACTGTCATAAAATGCACAAAGATGTGATTCTGCTGTGGCATAAAAAATCGTAAACTTGCTTCGGTGGGTAGAGTCTCATGCGTGTTACTTGTACGTGGTATTGTGATAGTGAATTAGCTTCCTATGGTGATCTCTTCGCCGAGGAGGATTACGACTTGTTCGACACAGTTACCATGTGGACTTTTTTTTTTTTTACTCTGATGGGAAGTATCTCTGATTGTAATTATTAATCCTCATACAAGTCCTTTAATTTGCCTTATACGTTCTCAGATCAGTTAGATGACTATACTGAAGACAGTGTGTGAAAGTGCTTATTCATGCAAATATATTTGATAACTGAACTCTCTGAACCGTGTGCTAAGAGTAATCATAGTACACAAAGATGAGGACTTGGCGAACGCCGCTAAGTAATGAACTGATTTATATGTGACTCCCAGCGAGAAAGAACGCTTTAGGCATGACCCCAACGGTGAAAAAACAGTGTATTGGTCCGAACTAAACCACAACGGGACACAAGATAGACCGTTGGCGAGATACCCACAAAAAGGATGATTAAAAGAGTACAAGAAAAACGGAAAATTTTGGAACCGCGAAATCAACACACACACAAGAAACTTGACCGACCGCGGGTATAGGGCTTTAATCCTGCTCAGGAGAGAATTCGCCTCTACAAAACAGATCCCTAGTAAACAATCCGTTCTCGCGCTCCACTCCTCTTCCACCTCATCCCTTTGGAAGCCAATAATCCACGTCACTCTTGGTGACACCCACCTGGAGGAATCATTAACCGACGGCAAGAGTAGAGAGAGAGATCCATCAGGCAGGAGAAACAGACGATAACCAGTTTACCCCGATACCCCCAGTGAGATACAATCCAGATGCATAACCCTCAAAAGCACGTTGTGTCAGTTTTTCCTCGCCGGGATCAAGCATAGCCTGCCACGGATAAAAAATGATTAAGCGCAAACCCCAACGGTATATATACGCGCAAAAGGTGTTTGGCGATCTCAGGACTCGAGAAACGCTCTCGCCGCGAGCGCCTTCTGTGGAACGGGAGAAGGTAAAAACGTCGCTTAGGCAGAACACCCAACCGAAAACCGAGATATTAACAACAACCAGGATAAGAAAGTTTGTCAGCAAGCCACCGGTAGAGAAATCAAACTAAGTTAGGCCAAGCTCCCGTTAGCGGTACAAAATAACGTTAGGGCGACCCAGGAAAACAACGTTAAGTCGAACCGCCATGACAAGAAACGTTTTCGGCGGGACCCCCACAGGAAAACGTTTGAACGGACACACAGAATTTCTTGGAAAAATGAAGGGCCTCAATTCGTAAAAATCTCACAGCGAGTAGAAGTTGAATCAGTTGTACTATGATTTTAGTGCATGGGCTGCGGAGGACCCGTGATGCGAAGCGGACAAGACTATAATCGCTTTATTAATGATTATAGCACACCAAAAAGAATTACGAAAAAGCGGTTAAAGCTTTGGAGTTGCGCAAACGATAAGGGGTGCGGTAATGGGGGAACAGATGGTTGAGGGAAAGTTACACCGATCTGGTACAATGAGGGTGGAATTTGTAGAAGTTTTTTTCTTGTGATTACTAAATAAATTTTGTCTGTTTTATAATGTTTGCTTGCAGCATTCACATAATGTTCCTCTTGCTGCTTCTTGACAAAACAACGAAGATGATAAGACAAGCAGAATAGTAGAGAGAGAGAAATACATAGATGTTATAGTACAAACAGGACATAGATATGATTAAAGCACTCCAAGGATATTAAAAGTAGTAACCTGTCCGGCGCGTTCTAATCGGCGCCCCGAACCGGAAGATCGTTCAAAGAGGAGAGCGAAAGAAGGCAATATGTGTCCGCCGACAGAGGTGTAAGGATAAGAACAAACGGTGCAGGGGAGCTATGAGGAGAGAGAGAGGGCAACCACGGATGAAAAAGTAAAGACTAGCTCTGTCGCGCAAGTACCGAGGCTGACACACCTCGAAAATGCGAGTCTGACAGAGAGAGATCAGATAGAGAAGAGTTTAGAGAGGGACTTCGCATAGAAGGCCAAAGCTGCCACTCACTGCCCCGGGACGGAAGCGGACTCGAGAGGACTTCGCATTTATCGGATATGAGATAGACTCCGCTATTCCGTTGAATCAGATATGAATGGAGAGCAGATAGAGATAAGCGGTTGAGAGGGGAAAAGAAAAACAGACAGACAGAGATTTTGCTAACAACCAAACGGAGAAGAGATTAACGCATCAGCCTACCCCCTCCGCCCTCTACCTATGTCCTCTCCGATAACCTGCCCGAGTCCGTACACGGTTAACAAAGTACCAGTAAACGAAAACGGAAGACGAGAGTAAAGAAGACGCAAAAAGGACGAGAAAGGAAAATAAGAGAAGCACACGAGACGGAGGTGACGAGGATAGACGGATAGATAGCATAGATAGAGAAGAGAGGAGAGACGAGAGTGACTGGGAGATAGAGGATAAAGATAGCTAGTACAATTAAACAGACAATAATAGTTAGGTTAAACTAGATATATTAGAAGCAGTAGGGTCGAGACCACAAAAATTGCGTTGGATTGAGCAGATATATTTCCAATGACATCTCTCTCGGCAATGCTAGTGAGAAATTGGAAAGATTAATCTAGAAAAATAAAGTCATCAAGTAAGAAACGGAAGATGAGAAAACGGACGAGGAGAATGCCCATATGGATCACACGCACATCAAACAAAAGCGTGCTAGAGAACAGCTTTTCCACACACACACTCAGCTTGCCTCGCCTATACGTGGGTCCTGTTAGTCGGAAGCACCTCGTTTAGTGGTTTGTGTTTGATTACCGCAAGTTTACCCCGTCTTAGGAGTAGTCATGCAAAATTCCTCATACTAAACAAGGAGTAAGAGTAAAAGAAAGAAAGAAAGATAGAAAAATGGATCTAAAGACTTACTATTAAATACTTGTGTATGTGTTTATATATGGATGTAGTCGTAAATGTATTTTACACTCGCGTTCGTGAATGTATAGTGTAAGTAGACGTAAAAGATATAAAAAAAGAAGTTACGACTCCACTTAAGGCTTTTGGTACGGCTATGCTGAACAGTCAATCATACACGAAATTCTGTGAAGACAACAGGTAGCTTTATTTTAGTTTATGCTAAGAAAGAAAGGGAAATCATTACTTCTTTCAATTGGCAAACCGTAGACCATAATTGTCAGAATTTATATGGATCTCTAGTTTTTACATCAAATTTTCCGTTATACTGGAGTTTATGAAAGGATTCTATACTTAGGTTGGCCAGTTTAAAACCCAAAGGACTGCTTTCTGTAGATTTCATGTAGTCTTCTTAGAGATAGGTGGCAATACAAACAACTATCAAAATGCAACTGTGTTTCGTATTGCCTGGAGACAAAGGTCATTATTTACCCCATTCAGACTGAGCATTAGGCAAAGGTTAATTTAAGCTACAGGGGGAAAAAAGTTACAGGTTAAGGCATTGGGTCCGTAAAACACGTAATGGCACCTTAGTTTTCTCGGCAGACGCGTTGTAGTCCATCCACGGTGCAACTTTATTATTATTATTATCGTTATTTTGTACTTACATTTTTTTTCTCTTTCCCGTTCGGTATAGAGGTCGGTGGAGATCACGCAAAACGATAAGAAATAAAGATAGAAATGGCTAGTCTGCTACGCTCTCTGTTGTTGCTGTCCTCTGTAACGGTTTCCCGGCGCTTGATTTCTGACGCGGAGATATTATGTATCCACAAAACGCTGCTTGGCCATTTTTCTTTGCCTCGCTGTGTATAATTTATCAACATATGTACGTTCCTATCGCTTCGTTGCCAAGTTTTATTTATGGCATTGGCTCAAAATTGCTTGGCGAGTACATTACGTACTTCGTAATTTGAAGTTGAGCTTCTGAAGGTCAAAGGCGTAGCTTTTCCCCCCACAAATATCAGTCATTATCATAACTTTCCTTGTCATCTTTATTCATTTTTCTTTTCTTTTCGTTCTTTTCTCTACTCTCCTTTCGTAATACCCACAAAATGTAGCCACAAAGGAAAATACACATAATATTCATCGCAATTCTTCTTTTAAAACAAATGGCAAACACACAAAGTACCACAGAATATCGCCGTATTAAAACGCACGAATGGTCAATCCACCAAAAAAACTCACCCAAACGCACAAACACACAATACATCACAATATTTCCTCGCACGAAAAGAAGCCAGACACTCATATCACCACAGAAATTCATCCTAATTCATCATAATCTCCTTATACACTCATTTCACCACAAAAAAAATCATCCTAACTCATCATCACAATCTCCTTTACCCACAGGTCGAGTTGCCTTTGAGAAGCTGACCGAGCTGGATTACCGAGGCTCGACCTACTACACCATCAGGAACCTTTCGCTGTGGGAATGCCAAGGATGGTGCAGGGAGGAACCCGAGTGTGCCGCGGCGTCCTTCAGGTGAGCAAGGATGGAATGGTGTTGATATAGTGACAGTGGTGATGGTAATGGTGATCATAGGATGTTGATATTATTCGTTGTGATGTTTGATGATAGAGCAAATAAGAATGGTAATGGTGGTGGTGGTAATGATAGTGACAATTGTACGGTAAGAGCTGTGATTATATGATAATAATGGTAATTTCTTGGTAATGGTTAGTTAATAATGTGTAAGATAAATGATACCATAATGAATTTTATGGGATAAAGTAATACATGCACAATTGAAAAAAATACTTGATGCCATTTTAAAAATTAGCATTACTAATATTTGATTGAAAATTTCCTGCAAGTGACTTCCTCATTCTTCCCCGGTCTTTGCCTCTGAGCCTAATCTTCCAACATTAATTACCCCCCACCCCCTACCCACCCCCTCAGCCACGCACGTTCGATCCACCATTCTGTGCAAATATAATCTGCAATTACAAACATAAATCAGAATTAATACATTTTATCATTTTTCTTAACTATTTACAAACATAAATCAGAATTAATACATTTTTATCATTTTTTTCTGAACTATTTACAAACATAAATCAGAATTAATACATTTTTATCATTTTTTTCTGAACTATTTACAAACATAAATCAGAATTAATATTTTTATCATTTTTTCTTAACTATTTACAAACATAAATCAGAATTAATACATTTTTATCATTTTTTTCTTAACTATTTACAAACATAAATCAGAATTAATATCTTTTAATCAATTCCTTTTTGGTTATTTATCGAGTAATCATTCCTTTCCCCCTTTCCCCTCTATTTCCCATCAGTTTCGTCATGAACCCCCTGGCGCCCGTGCAGGAGACGCTTTGTTTACTTCAGAACGAGACCATGGCTACCAACCCTTCCGCACAACCCCAGCGCGCGGTGTCCCTGTACTACATGGTTAAACTCCACGTCAGGACGAGTGAGTACTAATTATTGTTTTTAAGGAATGTAGGAATATCCGGTGCTGTTCCATGCGAACGGAAGAGGAAGGAAGGGAAGGAAAGGAAAGAGAGGAGGAGTAGGAAGCCATTGGTCGAGGAATGTAGTTATAATTACGGGTTGGGATGCCTGGGTGGCAAGACTTGGTCATTCGGGAAAATAGGCAGTTAGCCACAGGGGCGCGTTATGAAAAAAACACGTTTTGGCAATAAAAATAAATAGGTACAGTACGTGTTCCTCGCATGCCTAATTAGGAACGAACGCAGCGAGCGGTAGTGTGGTGGGATGTGATCGTTCACGGAAACGAAACTCTCTCTCCGACTAGAATTTCTTCGTTACGATTTCCATTACCGTCATGCGTTCATTACTCCGCGTTTCAGTCGTTACCGCGGATTATTGGAAAAGAAATCTTTCAACCGAATCATCCTGCCGCGAGGGTTCCCGAGCCACAGGCGGGAAACAAGGGAAGGTTGACAGTCTCACGCACCCAGCGCCTTCGACGTCAGCTGGTCTCGGGGAACTCCTAATTATTATAGACATTATCTCGCCTAAATTATCTTGTAGACAAACACGGATATCACCAGCAATATCCTATTAGTTCAGGTTACCCACTTAACCGGCAGATGGTGCAGAGTTCTAGTTAAATGCAACTCACGGTCCGTAAAACAGATTAATGACCTCTTGGACGTTTCATTTGCAAAGATCAGCGACGCAGACCCTCGTGACACTGCGATGCTCGTCGCTCATTCACTCCGCGTTAATCGTCGTTACGTGAATTTTAGTAATCGTTCAATCGTTTTTAATCACTTTTAATATCTCTCTCTAGCGGGAAATAAAAGCTGCCATGGTGTCGCTCAATATCAAAAGATCTAAAAAAAATTATGGGATAATTAATCTCCGTCAACGGCTCTTCAGAAGCGGGATTTTTCTTACTGTTGGGCCGATTATCCTGATCACAAGAGCGGTTGTTGTCCACGAGCGGAACTTCCTTCAGTCTCGCTAAGGTTCCGTCAGGAAAGAAGACGAATTCCGTGTTATAAAAAGGGAAAGTAGTTGCGTCCAGATCGCCTGATATTTTAACCACAAGAAGAGGAGGAGGAGGAGGAGGAGGAAGAAAAAAGTTGGTTTGAGGATCAAGAAGAAGGGAAGTATGAGGAGGGTAATAAAGAAGAGGAAGAAAAAATATGTATTTTTCTTCAGTGTAGAATTTCTTTTGGAAACTGTGTAGAAGTATTTTTTCTTTCTCTTTTTAAAAGCTAATGCTGCATCAAGCTTTATGAAGAAAGTTTTTACATATAATTGCTGGGCTGAAAACGGCATTTATTTCGAAAAGTCGGAATGGTGAAGATGAAGATAATCGTCGCAGTGTGATGTTTTTCTTTTTTCTTTTTTATATGTATCAGTTTTTGTCAAATTCTCAAGTTCGCATTTGCGGTTTGTAGTTCAGCGCTCCATTTTAAAAACCTCTTTCAAGATCTATTCTAAACGAAAATAAAAGTCGGACGACATTGTGTCAATCTTCTTTTATTTCTCTGCTCGTCGAAGGGCTGCAGCTACAAGCAGTGTTGAATCTCCGACTGCGAAATCGAAAGCACAGAGCGCCAGAGGGCCTTTGCGATGGCGCCGCCGCCTCGCCTCACCTGCCCCGACATCCCGAGGGCGCTCTCGACTCCCCGGGACGCCCCTGTGTCGCCGTTATTCTCGAGGCTGTGGTTCGGTCTTTGAGAAGCGGCGGGAGGAGGGAGCGGGGGGCGGCGGGAGGGAATAAAGGGGGGGGGCGGTTATGGCAGGGTGAGCACAGGTCGGAATATTAAGAGAATCGGGTATTTTTCGCTCTGCCTCTTATTTCCCGACATCCTTTTCGCTTTTGTCTCGACTCCTTGGGGATTCCTGAGGGTCTGCGCCGAGAACCACTCATCGAAACGCCTGAGTCACTGACCACGTCCAGCGCAACGGTCCTCCAATAAACTCTTTAAAAATCGACTCAAAATTGAATTCCCCCAAAAAATCCGTCTCCATCAACCTTTCTCTGTGAAGGAGGAAGACTTCTCCATCTTCATCTTGCGTGTCTTGCAGCTCCTTCGAGAGACGTGTGAAGTGTTCTGGAGTCACGGCGCCTCGGTCTTCCGAATTCTTCCTATTTACACTTTCGATAATTTCATACTCTAATGCCGGGATGAGATGCTGATTCGGTCTTAATTAATCCACCGATTATTTCTTGTTGTTTTTTTCTTTTTCACGTTCCACTTGAAATTAAACTGAAATGGCATTCACTCTGACAGATGCTGAAGGTAGAAACGAGAATGAATACGTTATATAACGTTTCTGTATTACCTCATCATTGGAATTATTCATTTTCATTTGTACATTTCTCTCTCTCTCTCTCTCTCTCTCTCCTCTCTGTATTACACCATCATTGGAATTATTCATTTTCATTTATACATTTCTCTCTCTCTCTCTCTCTCTCTCTCTCCCTCTCTCTCTCTCTCTCTCTCTCTCTCTCTCTCTCTCTCTCTCTCTCTCTCTCTCTCTCTCTCTCTCTCTCTCTCTCTCCCTCCTCTCTCTCTCTCTCTCTCTCTCTCTCTCTCTCTCTCTCTCTCTCTCTCTCTCTCTCTCTCTCTCTCTCTCTCTCTCTCTCAACCTCACAGTACCACACACTCACTACCATCTCATTAAAATTCCCGATCAACGATGAGAAAAATGAGAACTGTAACGGATTCCTCGCCACCCTCGCGGGCGCCCGGCGACACACCAGCTTCCTCTCGAGGAGTCGGAGGCAAAAGTCTCATTACGATTAATTTGATTCAAGGATCTCAATACAGTCAGATTTAGTCCACGGAGTAGGCATCTAAAAAGTTCAAAGGCAATATTTATATTTTTTAAAATGAATAAACCTTCATTATCAGTTTTATTATCTTATTTTGCAATATAGCTTGCGATTTGAAATTCCAGTCAACAGGGAATCTCGGAAGCCAAGAAATGCAGGCGACCGGAGACCCGCCATTACGCCGTTAACACGAGTCACTCCTCAGGCTACAGTTATTATCTCCGAGGGAAAAAATCGGAAGCACAGATTTTCTTTTTGGTGATAATGAAATGATAATGACTATGACAACTGCAGGAACTTGATTTATCCAATTCCCACGTGTTTTGGCTACTCACACGCCGTCATTGCGATCGTAGGAAAACAATAACGTGTTCCGGACGTGTTTTTAACAGTCCCGCTCGAACTACATCATCCGTGAATGCTTGATACAGTTAAGCCCTTATGACCTTGACCTTTTGGATTGACCTTGTCTCTTGCAGCATCCGCGTTTCGTGTTCTCGGACGGAGAGGGGGGTAGGGGGTGAAGGTCATTGTAGGGGGCATGTTACAGGTCAAAGGTCGATGGTTAAGGTTAGAATAATCACTTCTCTCTGACCTTTCAATCTATTAATCTGTTCCGTTGTCAGACTGCTGTTGGATTAATGAATTGCCGCTTTATACAATAGGCCTCATTTTCCCTCTTCCTATTCTACATATTGACACTGATAACGCAAACATCGCAAATAATCATCATTATCCCACATGCAACTATCGACTGTACCAACACCGTCTCAATGGTACAATTCGCCGCAACACATAACACCCGATAAAGTGCATTTTGAGCTTATCACCCGCTCCATTGGCTGGCAGTTGATACGAGAGACAACATCCTGTCAATCAAAACGTTATTTTCGAACCAATTAAAGTCTCTTGTTCGAGGTAATGCGGGTGATTTTATCGCGATGATTTCCGTTTGATAACTTTCCCGTGTTGCTGTCTCGCCGTCCTGGAGTGCGACCACAACAAGCAGATATTACGTTTAACGATGTTGTTGGGGTTCCTTCCTGGGATGGGGTTTGTGACCTTTCTCTGCTTGCCGGTCTGGCTGTCTCTCTCTTCATCCCTCCCTCTCTCCTTTCCTACCAGTCTTTCTAACTCTACGTCTCTCCATGCGTTTTACCCACCTATTTGTCTTTCTTTCTCTATACATATCTATCTATCGGTTTGGCTATTTTTCTATCAATCTATCAATGTGTATATCTCTCTCTATGCCTATACATGTATATATGCATCCATGCATGCATGCATACATACATACATACATATATACATATATACATATATACATATATACATACATACATACATACATACATACATACATACATACATACTACATAAATACTGTACATACATTCACACACACACACACACACACACACACACACACACACACACACACACACACACACACACACACACACACACACACACACACACACACACACACACACACACACACACACACACACACACACACACACACACACACACACACACACACACACACACACACACACACACACACACACACACATATATATATATATATATGTGTAGTGCAATTATTCTTCCCTCACACTTAAAACCTCCATTACTCCGATCGTTCTCCAGCGAAATCGATCCAATCCGCCAATCCGCCAATCGGGATTAGTTTCCCCAAAGAACAAAAGGCTTTCCCGGATGGCTGCTGCAAACCGAAGCCGTGAACGTATTCCGGGAAACGTTTAAAGACCACCGTCGTCGCCAGTCTCGCCGCCGGAACGTTTAATTGTGAAAACGTTAAAAAAAGGGAAATTAACTCGAGTCTTCCTGGTAATTTAACTATCGTTCGGGATGTCTATCACCTGGAAATAGTTTCGTGAAGAATAAGGGAAAGATAAAATTAAATTGAAAAGAGAAGAATTGAAATATCACCTGGAAATAGTTTGGTGGAAATAAAAGATTACAATTTATATATTTTTGCTGTCCAAACGATGCTGTCTATCACTTTGAAATAGTTTGGTGAAAAAGTGAAAAATATAGAATGAAAGTGAAAAGAATATATATATATATATATATATATATATATATATATATATATATATATATATATATATATATATATTCTGTCT